CTGAGGCGGTTGTCTGCTTCGTTGGGAGTGGTTACATGACATGAAAGTAAGTGAATATTTTATAGTCAACCTGACGCTAACGGCTCGAATTTCCTGTTAGGGTTGGGTGGGCGCTTGGTGGTTCTGTTATAGATGCACTTACCTGTTATACTAAGTGTACTTGCAATACCTATGGCCATCTCCGTTATCCATGAAAATACGGAAAGAGCAAAGAATTGATATAGAAATAAATGACTTTCCGATTCGGGTTTCTGCTTCGCTAGGGGTCATTACCTGAAGAAGTGTCCCAGTATAAAGGGTTCACTTACGTGTTATAATAAAGGTATTTGCAGTATCAAAGGCCATCACGACCATCCATGAAAATGTGGAGAGAACAAAGAAATGGACTAAAATGGCCACTACTCGGCAAAGGAGAGGGACTTCTGTTGACTTCTTTGAGCTGAGAAAAAATGCTTGGTAACACAATAACGTTCCAGAGATATTGATCACACATTTCCCGGGCAGATTTCTAAGTTCTTTGAAAGACAAGTAACCTATGAGAAGAAAACATAGCGAGACGATGGAAAAAATCATACCAGCAAGGGTGATATGAGTTAGCACCAAACTGTCATTTTCATCTTTCTTTAGCGCATCTATTGGTTCAGGCTGGGCTGTTAGGCACAAAGTGTAAACATCGTTTCCCTGCAATCTTATAGAATCGTCATCATATGAAATTCAAGTTGGTGTCAATGTTTCAAGCGTTTTGTTTGACGACAAACGTGCCTGACTTGATTGATTATTTGTCAAAATCAAAACTTGTCAAGTGCAGTAGTTAAAGTGTGACTTTCAGTAGAGCACTTGCGAAGATGTTGAAAACCCGAAATCGCGGAGCTTCAGTATTGATCGTAGGTTCTATATTTTCTCGCGATTCGGTTGTGAATTTTACGTTTGTGCTCACATCAAGAAGGATTCGTAACGGAGGATTGTTGGCTTCGTCTATAATCACCGTCGATGGTCCTATTGACCCAGCTTATTCAGTTTTCTGGGGAATCAGCCACCCTTCTTGATTACAAAAGGCACAATAAGGACTCCTGTTGTTTCTTTTACTATCACCTGTGAAGACCATAGCGTATAATTTACACAATTCTTGAACAATAGGCAAGATACTTAACTTATTCGAAGCTCAGGGTGCATCCCTTACCACACAACTTCTATAATAGTCTGTAATGCTTCTGTATGTTATGTTTTGTTTCATGGCAAAGATACGGAGTTCTTTTTGTAAAGTCATAACTAACTGCTCGACAGTCAGGGTGTGGCAGTCGTTGGTGCTCTTACAGTTATACGAATCGCAAGTAGATTGCATGATTACCCCGGACCATAAAAAGCTGTTGACATCTCCACATTCCACATCCTGAAGTCGCACATCACTGCTACTCTGACTACACCTGGGGAAAATACATTAAGAGGTGTTAAAGGCCTGTTCAGAAATTGGGAACCGAGTTTTAAAGAGGCGTTAGTCGCTTCTATTTTTTTTGTGTTTCTTCCCTCTAAAAACCTTTGACCAGGCCCTCCTCAGTCTCAGTCTTCTAATACCCCCCCTCCCTCCCCCGACAACGTGCATGCGTTGTGTGATTAGTTCAAATGAAAGATGCCTGAGCGACCGTGGACACCGCCATCGTCTCGACAGTTCCGGAAGAAAACAAATTCTAATTAGCTTCTTTTTCGTCATTCTTGTTTACATTCCACATCGAGATGTAAATAGTTTTGAAAATGGAATGACAAAAACATCAGAAAGGGAGAAAAGAAAGGACTGGTTTTCAGCAAAACCTGCCAAGCTACAATCGTTCGATAGAGATTTAAAGTGATGACGTCGAGCTCAAAATGCTGGCTGTACTTTCGAGAAACGGGCCGTAAACCTTTCCAGATTAAAGCTAAAAGCAGTCTGATTTTGGTTCATTCAAATCCGTGGGCCAATTTCATGATACAAATAAAGAGGAAAAAAAACTCTTCGGGCTAAAAAAATCCCTATACATGGAGAGAAAACGATGTAAAACTTTTGTAACTCAGCTGAGGTTTGGGGCTGTAGGGAGAGCCTGAATAAAGGATGACTACAGAACGAGAGGGAAAAAGCGAAACAAAGGAAAAAAGGAAATATTTGCAGCACCAAGTATCACGGATGTCATAGATCAGAAAGCAGTAAATACCATGGTGAATAAATGCGATAGTAGTGCTGTTAAACTTTAAGGATCGGATGTAAGATAAATTGAAGAGCTCTGACCCAAGCCTTTGCATTAATTATTTTTAACTTATTGTTCGTTCATTCTTCTTTTCATTATTAAAAATTCAAAATACCGAGTTTAGTTGTGTGAGTGTACAAATGGAATACCCCTTGTGAATGTTGAAATTTTTTAGTTACCTATCGGAAAAAAGTAATGTATGAAGTAATTTCTGTCCTCGAGTGAGGGTAAATCTTTGCTTTCACTAAAGTTGATGCTGAACATCTAGACTTTCTCAGGAAAACCTAACTTGTACAGTAAACGAATTCCCACCTTTTTCTTATCACTGCGCGACGGTGGATAACAGTAGCCCTTAATAGAATTTTTTACTTTTCTCAGCAAATCCAGTTAATAAGGGAACCCTTAGCTTATAATAACCTCAAGTTAAAATCCAGGCAACAATCACCAAATGTATTGTATGCGTCGTCACAGTAGCAGGTCATTTCCTGTGTCCTTTCTTGAGAGAAACATCTGCCTGTACATGACTGGTCTGTCAAAGTCTTCTGTTTATCCACTACGTCAAAAAACGACCTTCCCGGGAGAGAGAAATTCTACTGATGGAAAATATCTCTCAGGCTAAGAGTCTGTGCCTTGTACCTCACGATGAAGTCTTCCTTTGAACCTGAACTTTTGGAAGAAAAAAATCATTATGCATTTGGCAGCGTTCGCGTTTACTCTAGATATTACTTGTTTTTGAAGACAGCACTCATGCAATCTTCCTCTATTTATGTAATTCGATCCCTTTCGAACATTCCTGTCTTCTGGCACATTGATTTTATTTCTTTTTTCGACAAAATGGCTTTAAAATACTTTTAGAGCTGAAAATTTCACTCTTGATCCAGAAAGTCGCCTACGTAACGATCTAAGCCAGAAAGAGAAAGTGAACATTTTATAGGTGGTATTATTGTTTTATAAGGTGTCGCGTTCCCAGCACGGCAGACACGGGGTGCAGCGTAATTGGGCTCGCCACGTCAACCACAGTGAAGTAGAGGACGGACAGCAGACTCTTACACACGTTTATTGGACTAAATAATGTAAACAGGCTACAGAACCGTTGCAACACTTGCAGTGAAAACTAAAAAGGAATGCACGATTTGTCTAAGCTAGAGAAACGAGCTAAATTACAAATCTGACGACAGGAAACACAACTAAAAGCTAACAGAAACTTAACGATCGTGACTTACGTCTGATCTTGACTCCGGGGATGAGAAAACTCCAAGTTGTGAAAAAAACCCCAAAAGACTCCTATAAAACTCCTCTTTGCTCTAGGGAAAACTCCTTAAAACTAAAATGTTCGCGTGAAAATAGGCCTAATATACTTCTATGACGTAAAGGAAACTAAACTGAAACAACTCTTTGTGCGGCTAGCCAAGAAAGGATACACATTTATAATCACGCAATCAAAACGAAACAAGGCTATATTTTAAGGAAAGAAAAAGTCGTATAATTTTCTAAAGCGTTCTTTACACAGCAACGTGACATAAGGTATTACCTGGTAAAAAAGAACCTTCGCATCAGAGTTAATAGACTCTATTAACTCTGTTCGCATAAAGCAATGTTTCAGCGCGCTCACCAGCTGCAGTGCGTATGTTTTTTTTTCTGTTTAGAAACATTGTTTGATGAAATCACACAGACTCTTAACACGTACGCCGAGAAAAGTCGTTAAAGTTTACTACCTCTGTGAGCCGTTGCACCATCTTTTCCTGCCAAAATTCAAGAAAACTCCTTTTGAAATTGATCTGAAAGTTTCCTGAACGGAATTCAATAGTTTTTTCTTGTGGTTTTGTTAGTATCAACAACATGCAGATTTTTTGAGAGATGCGAGTCTAATCCAGAGAGTCGTGTTAGCGGTAAGCATTCCTTTTGAAATAGTTTGCTACTTTTAGTTTCGTCTTAAAGCCAAATGCTGCCAATTCTCCTAGAAATTGACGTACCTTTTGATAAATGAGAAATATTCTATTTGAAGTTCATTTTGTTCTATTTTGGTCCTATCATACAGAGTGGTTGGATGGTATTTCTTTAAGATAAATCCAACGGTTCTAAAATCGAACAAATGCCTTGGCGGATATCAGAAGACAATTGGTAACATCGTGCCCAAATATGTGCGGGAACTGTTGTGGTAACAGGTAATGTTGCCTTTCTAAGTCCTTTTTTTGTCATATTTTTGTTGTTTTGCGACCTTTTATGCTTTATCCCTTGTCGTAAACTAGTGCTAATATTTTTCTCTTGATATTAATACTATTACTAATATAGTGTTACTGACCGCTTGCAGCCTAAGGCTGAATTACGGGTGCAGTTTAAGATTGAGAACAGACGTCAGCATATCAGGCGCCTCTGGCAGCCGCTTCAGTCCATCGATCTCACCTTCCCACCCATCCCACCCAGGGGAGGACATCCATCACACAGTAATCTCGTGTGTGGGAAATTAACGTCTCCT